TTTTGGATAGTTCATTTATTTTCATCAGACCCCCTCATCCTGTTAGCATTCTAATCTTAATTAAATGGGGTTTTCCGAAGTTTGATCAGTAGTAGAGATAACTCTTATTTCGAAATGTTCAATGAAGTATTATCTGCTTTGTGAATGATGGGTTTTTGATATGCGCAAATAATATCAAGGTTGTGTCGTGTAAACATACCTTTTTTCAGAAATATTTTCCTGTGATGAAACTTATCATGTACCGCACTTGACTATAAATGCTATAGTTAATTGACTATAACTTGCATCTTAAAGTAAAAAAATTGGTGTAAGCAAGATGTCTTTTGTAGCAGAGTTGTATGTAAGTTCAAGTTCTATTTATGGTGGGTGTATATATCATGCGGTATGATCTAGGGTTGTTTTTGCACTGTGTATAAGGAAAACACCTCATTACTTTTTAGCTTTTAACCCTTAGTTTAAAAAGAATATCTCTATTACTGTTGGAGTACGTTTTCCGGTAGTTTAAGTGGCTTTCCATACACAGTCTGTAAGTGTTATATGTCAAATCTTCCTATTAACCTCATTCGTTCAACTAACAGCACCCCAACAATCTTCACGAGTCCTCATAGCCATATGCTGTAGTTGATTGGTTGTGCTGATGTAGAGACATGTAATTATGCACAGTCTCTAAAACAGAAAATCTTTTAATTTTATGGGAAATGCTGTGGTACAATAACGAAATAGTTTACAAGCGTTGGGCTTTAGAAATTTGATTGATTTCAAGTTATATCATAGTCTAAAATCAGTTAGAGAACAGTTGGATATTGGAGACTGCTCGAGCTCGCTTAGTAACTTCAAGGTCCTGTGTGTGTATTTCGGAGTGTATCGATTAGGGTGAAACAGCTGTCCACTACTCCCTGGTTTCCAGCTGTTCTCTAACAGATGTCAGTTCGAGGGCGCACTTGTAAACAAAAAAGTGCTTTCTGTCTCTAAATGTTGGACACAACCAACAACATGTCTCTGGATTAACTATAGTAGTATGAATATAGAATAGAGTATTTTCATTTGCTTTCATGTAACCACTTTTTCTCCTAACACTGTCCTGACCCTTGTTGGCATCTTTTTCCGTATGCATTGTTTCGCTGACTTCTGGAGTGGTCTGATTCTCGTTATCATTTTGTTCAACCACATAAGAACATTGATTTGCACTAAATGCATGTTGCTCAAGAGCGATATTCAGACGTTTTATTGTTCTTTGTTTATTATTCTTGTTAGACAATGTATAACAAAACAATACAACTAGACTCAGATAAATGTTTGAAATATAAAGCACTGCGTTGAAGAAACGTATCTTGTTTGTTAGAATCTTCGATCTTTTAATTTACCTCAAATTCAGATTATAAGGATAGAAGGCTCTTGTTGCTTATGTTAATCCTTGCGATATATAACTTTGCAGAGATCTAGTTTCTCTTTGAAAGCGTTCGCCGATGGAGCTGTTACTACTGAATCAGGTAAGGAGTTCCAGTCGTTGACCATGTGAGGGAATCTAAATTCCACACGTATTTTGTTCAACCTTGGTTTGAGCACCTTCTTGTGGTGACCTCGTAAATGTATCCTAGAGGGAGAGAAAAGGTTTGAAAGGTCAATCCCTAAATCATCCTTTAATATACGGTAAGGCAAAATTTAGTCGCATCTCCTTTGGTATAATAATGGGAAGAGATTTCAATTCTTCATCCTCTCATCATAAGGAAGACGTGAGATATCACTAACTGATTTGGTTCCTACCCTCTTTACTCTTTCCTCCTTTTTGGAGCATGGACTCTCCGCTTGTATGCAGTATTCTAGATGAGGTTTGACATATGTTGCATAGAGTACTTGGAACATACCCTCCTTTAGTCGTTTGAAATTCGCCGTTGTTTTTAAGTCATGGCTTACAGTAATTCTTAAGTACTTTTGTCTCTTAACATCTGGCAGTTGTGTGTCCCCCAGGGAGTATGACGTGTAAGACCTCCGACCTGGGTGCATTACCGCACTTTTCTTGGAATTAATTTCCAGGCTCCAGAGGTTAGCCCATTCAGCTAATTTATCTAGATCGGTTTGTAGTACCAACCTATCATCGTTATTATTTACGGTTTTCCATATCTTAGTATCGTCGGAAAATAATAAGGAAGTCTAGGTAAGAATTTTCGGCAGTTCATTTAAGTATAGTAGGAATAGCAGGCCAAGCACAGTCCCCTGAGGTACCCCACTTAGTACTGCTTTCCAGCTTGACAGTCCACCGTTACCTAGTTGGTGTCAATTCCTCCCAGTTAATATGTGGGGCCTATTTCTACTACTTCAAGCCCTGAGGTGATTTAGTACAAAATCGTCAGCTTGGCTGGCAAGGCTCCTACAATTAACCCCAATCGTCACAGTGCCCTTGTTCAAGTTAGTGACACAGCTTGTGGCTTCACTAGTGCCGCTGTCATGGGCTTCCGACAACGTTGATCTAGTTCCTATATCATCCCGGATGTATAGGGCAATCCTACCACCTTTCCGACTAATTACTGTGTCTGCTATAATGCAGATGTACGAAGGTATGAGAGGAGTCTAAATTCACTAACAACTATGTTTCAGTGATAACAATCACATCAGGTTGTAGTCCTTCAGACAACACTCCTAGTTCAGGAAGTTTGTTGCTAAGACTACCCGCGTTCGTATAGCATACTGAGAGACTGTTATGACTGAACGGAACTGACCCGTCACCAACTTGTTATAACTGAAACTGAACTGAACTGAATAAATGCGTTGCTACTTTTTATGTTTACTCCTGTTAATTACTGTAATGGAAATGAACTCGACTGGTACTCTAATACGTCTATTTGTCCGTTGTACCTGCTGATTCACTGAGTCACGCAAATATCAAAAGACAAAGGCTAGCCTGACTATAAGATATTTCATTTTACCACATAGTTTAAGAAACAACACATGATATTTATACATTTTCTTTACCATAGTAAAGTCGGCTAACAACCGTGGGAATGGTTTGTTCTTATTGGCTGGAAATGTCTATTCTGATTAGTTGGTGGTCCGACAAAGACCAAGGTGAGACAAAAGACGATGAATTGATCACACACTAAATGACAATATGCGTGAGAAATGATAGATCAACATAGTAACTCCATCACAAGATAAATCACACGATTCGTGAGAAAGGATGATATACTATTTTATTCTGGGTCCTATCAGAGAACTACGTAATCACTCGCCTTATGAGCAGAGGTCTGGGCAATATAGGTTTCCGAGACCTCACTACCCGACAACCCAACATTTTAAGGTCTTTTTCACCTTTTTCTAGTCTGGCGTTTAATTCAGCCACGGCTTCTCTTCTCTTAATTCTATCTTGCAGAGACCAGTCGGGTCTTATTCTCATCTTTTTGTCCTTGATCTCGAATGCGTTGCTGAGAATAATGCTTTTATCCACCTTGTTCCCCAATACTATCTGCAGCAGTTGTGGGGAACTTTCCGTTGCATCGGCATTTCGTTTACCGATTCTGATGACTTTTCTTATGTGAACTCCATGTTTTTTTTTCAGGAAGTACTTAACGAATGATAGAGCTAATTAACTCGAGATCATCAGCATGTTGGGCGGCTGGATCTCCTTTCTTTGATTTCTCCAAGTTCCAAATCACGATACTGTAATTTGGGTTTGAAGGTTTCGCAATCTTATTGGTGTTTACGGCAGTCGAGATCTTATCATTAAGTCCAGTCTTTTTCTCTTTGTTGTAGTTCTTCAGCTTCCTATTTTTCGGCACTAACCGAGTGGAATAGGTTACTTCCACTTTGCTCTCACCGTAGTTGGGGAAGCCATGAGTTCAGCAGACACGCAACGCTTCATCGTGATAGTGTCATCCGGTTGTCTTACAATGTTAGCACTGCATGCCGTCTCAGATTTTCGGGACCTTTTGCTTACTGTTGCAGACTTTTGGGCACACTGTACCTCTTTTATGTCTTTCGCTTCGAGATTTGGTTCTGTCTCAGTCTCATGACTCAGTCCAGAATCATCATTCATGGCATCGTTTCCCGATGCTGGCTTTTTCCCCTAATCTGAAGATTTTGTGAATTTTTTTGAACATAGAAGTCCTACGGCCTCCTGGATGAGCACGTCCAATGGGACAAAATTTACACACCCACGGAGACGATGGTTTGCTGGATCTCCCATAAGCTGATGGTGATAAGCCAGTGAAAACTTTATGAAACCATAGGTTGCAGTAATCACACTGCATCCCACCATCCACCAGAAAGTGGCAGTCTAGTCGTCCACAGCTATTAGTGAAACTCATGTCGGTATAAGTTGTTTAACTTACGCAGAAAAATGTGTTTATAAATATACCTAAACACATAAAAACTACACAAAGGACGCAAAAAGAATACTTCAACTAATTAAACCAGTTAAAGTAAAGTTTCTGACGCGATTTACACAACAAAAGCAGAAGTTACTTCACAACGTACAAATCCCACTTTCCTTTTCGAAGCGCGTGCGGTTCTGGTTGCTTCATGTCCTAAATTTAACTTATTTTACTTCAAAGAACTGTCTTGATGGGTCGTTTTGACAAAAACAGATGCGTACCATTAATGTCTTCTCATTTCGATGTGTAAATGGTAGTTATCGAGGTTTCGAGAGCTACATTCCTTTGTTCTCTGACTGATTTATTTTTCAGATATCATTTTGTGTTATTATATGGTTATTGGTTATTATATGGATATGCTTTAGTCACCTAAATCTACTGCATCTAGCTATCCTAAAAGGAAGTATTGATTAGTGTATCCATTCTGTAAACATTTAGTGCGGTAAACTGTAACGGTTTTATCTTTTGATGGCCTTGGTACATCTGCTATGTTTATATTATTTTCCTCTTTACTTTATGTGTCATATAACCATGCCAGTATAAATTCCAATCTCAGATGTTCTCAGTTTATTATAAGAAGTTCTAAATTGATAAATTAACAAATCTTTGACACTTTTTAATGCATTTACTGATGAAACATCGTGCTGGGATTTTGTTTATTTGATCAGTAAGTGAATAAAAAAATCAATACTGAATCATCTCTTTTATACTTTCGTAGACAATTTCTTGTCACTCTGGATTGTTTATAATGAATGAAATTGGGTCTGGATACGGCTCTCCACAAATTCAACGGACTTATCTCATTCCTCTTGCTGAACAGGTGTGTCTTACAATTTTAGTTTATCGCTTCATAGTTCACAAAAATTTGTGTAGATGCGTCATCCGTTGATGATTTTGTCGAATATGTGATCCGAGATAAGTCAACAAGCTGTAATAAGTCGAATATGAGGTTATGGCGAAAAGATGCCTGCAAAGGTATACTTTACTTTGTTATGTTATTTTGTTCAGCTCTGAGGCTCGTTAATGCGCGTACAATGGTTACTCCTGTTCCAAAAGATTCACCAATTATTATTGACCAGTCTGAATCTCCGAAATTGGATATGTCGGTGGATACAGATAAAAAGTTACCACGCAAACGATCTAGGTTGAACATGGAATCAACAGGTTGGTGCATATTTCATGCTAACTGTTTTAAGTTGTTGAATCTTTCACCCCTCGGACTTGTTCATCTACTCTAGCGAGTCTCAAATACACTACTCCTAAAGATATACGGGTAAGTAGTCCGTGTCTTGTTTTAATAATATTTCAGAAACAAATAAAAGCTTTTCTGATATCTCATCTGTTTTCCGATATGGGACTACCAGTTTGGCCAACTTTACTTATTAATGGTCCACCATTTTGCGGTAAAACAGCACTAATTGAAGCAGCATGTGGAGTAAGAGTTGATTTTGTTTTTTTCTAATGCGAAAAAAAGACTCTAGGTCTAAAGATTATCACTGTATCGGTTGGCACAGTGCCATCGTCTATGCGCTCTTGGATGGATATATTCAATCAGGCCAAGGTATGCTAATTCATTTTAATAATCCAAAATCATCAAGAGTTGTGCACCTTGTATTTTACATTTAGATGATATTGAAAGTATGGAAAAGCATTCCTCTCCTGTTGGAACATTTCGTCTTACTTGTCTTTTGAAGAGTCAAATACTTAGAGGTATGGATATATGTCTTGTGCTTTTATATTGGTTTATATTATTTGATGATTATTTAAAAAGTAATCTCTTTTCAAGGCATTCAGTTGCTTCATACGTACAAATGGTTTTAATTGAGAAAGTTCATACACTATTTACAATCACATTGTAGTTGTTTGGTAAATTCAATAAAGTAACTGAGCTAATGCTAATTATTGTTAATGTCACATTTTATGGAAAGGAAAACAAGTACAACAGCAGGGGGTATCGAAAACTATAAATAAATTGCCTTCGAAAATCCCATTCATCTTTTATTGATAAGTAGCTTTATGAATTAATTGACTCATTTTCGTGTTCACTCGTTTGACACAGTTTCTGTATTTACCTTATTAAAAACAAGGAGTAGGACTGCTGTCATAAATGTCATAACTTTCAGGACTATGTGGTAGTGAACAGTGTTAAACAGTTTTTAATTAGGGGTTGATATTTAGTGGTCACTTATTGAAGCTTGCAGGACAACCTAACTGTCTATGGATCAAAGCTACTAGCTTCAACATGATGTACATCTTTTTAATGCAGCCCGGTGGGTTTAAATGATTATGATTGAAACACAAACTTCGTACATTATTGGTGTAGCGAGAGACGTGCTACACAAAATCTCCTAGTTTGTGTGATGGCTGGGATACTGGTATCTACAAAGCATTGGATCAGCATCAGGATCTACGTGCCCCCATGGTTTTCGGTGACCAAAAGAAGTTCATACGCTATTCAAGTCGCTCGGATTCTGGATCCTATGTACACCAGAGGTTTAGAATCAAGATTTTACAGCTCCCACAGGTAGAACTACATGTCTATTAGTCCAGTATTAAGCGCTAGACGTTCGCATCTACCCTTTTTCATTTTCGTGAGGAACACCCCTGCTGCATGAAGGCAGTGAACAGGACTTACCTGGCAACAGAGGCTATAAACACGTAGCCGCATTAGAGCATTTTGCAAGGAAGACCGAAGTCTACCCACCCCACTCGTACCTGGTCGTTTATGGGAGGGGGGCAATGTTCACTACATATCTGTTGAATGAATAACATGTAGTTTCTAATTACTCGTTTATCCAGAGAAAATGTCTGGACAAGTTCATTCTAAATTGTACTACAGATACACAACATGAGGTAATATGTTATAACTGAGTCGCAGCATTTATCATATTCTTATTGTTTGTTTTGTTTCTCAACAAAACTTAATAGCCGTTAAGTACTACAGTGTAAGTAAAATCTCTTCACTTAAATATGTGTGTCTTCCAAATTTTAGATATGACCAACTCAGGTGTTGTATTAATTGGTGAAACTCGATGTCTTCTAGCCAGTTTACCGCAAAGTATTTTAGATTTATTTACACAGAAGTTAACATTTGGTATGTTAAATGAAACTCATCGTTTAAAGTGAGTATAAATTGATCTATGGTAAACCTTTCTAGTGTGATATTTTATACTGGTGATTGACTTGGAAGTTGTACTTTTTGTATGATAACAAATATCATTGCCTAACTTCATTCACTTGTTGGGCTATAGGTCATTTTCACCTCTTCTCAACAGTATTAACACGGATGGCAAAATGTTTTCCATATGCTTTTTAGTGTTTTATCAGAACCAGTAGCCTAAGTTCCACTCGAGCGATGGCCTTTCGTGTGATGTCACTTGATAATTGGTTTTCTCAGAGTATGACCAATCCACCTTCATTTCTTCCTGCATATTTTTTGCACAATTGGTTCCTTCTGGGTTGGTTCACTCCCAGAGATCCCTGTTGCTGATCTTTTCTGGCCGGCCATCTGATCTTGAGTTTTGAGCGTAGAGAGCTGTTGATGAAGGTCTGTAGTTTGTTCAAAGTGCTCTTCATCACGCGCCAAGTCTCTGATCCGGACTGCACATTGGAATTGAAAATCCGGATCTTATTTTTCAAGCTAAGTGCTGCACACAGACTTACATAGGTGTTTTTATATGAACGTATCTAAATAACTTGGTTTTCGATTCTTAAAGGTGGGTTTGAATTCATCGGTGCAGAAAATGGCATACAGTCACTGTTATGTAGAAAGTCGATTGTCATTAGTGTCACTCATTGTATAATAGTATTATATTCTTAGGGTGCACTCATATCCATCACGAAGGTTTGTACTTTAACTTGCATATATATATATATATATATATATATATAAAGTGTTCATGTACGATTGAATTTATAAGTTAACTCCTATTCTTTCCTTCCTTATAAAATTAGCTTATTACGGCAGTATTTATCAGACGATAGTGAATTTACTATATCAACAAAACCGGTTGTTAGCCAGCAAATGAAACCATTACAACTCAGTGATAATTTAACATGTCTTGAATTAGCACGTCGTACACCTGGTTATGAAATTGGCGACCTAATTCGTTTGGTGGCTCATTTAAAAATGGCTTGTTTAACAAATGACAATAGTAGTGATGACGATGATGATGATAATGATGCGAATGGTGGTGAATACAATACAAATGGTCAAGAAATCCGGGTTAAATTTGCACATGATTTATGTATTGATGATTCAGTGGAGAACAATATCCTATCGGTATGATTTTTCCTAATTTGTCTTTGTATATTTCTGAATTTTAGTTTGATAATGAGTACATGAAGTTGTATAAAAAAACAGAAACCTTTTCACAATTTTTTTATCGCCTTAGTGTTGTTAAACTTGCACTAACAATATGGTGCACCGAAATGTAACCACCGGGTATTTAAGACACACTGCAATGGTCTACGAGCTCGTCTTGTAACCAGAAGGTCCTGGGTTCAAACCCCGGTGGGTGCGTACTGATGAAGAGTCCCAGACTCCAGTACTCCCAGGTTTTCCAGTGGTTCTTTAACTGATGTCAGCTGATGATGAAATCCTCCATGCAATCAAACACGAAATCCCCATAAAACCAATACTTGAAAACACACTGCAATTCATGAAAATGTGGACTATCTTCTCAGTTGTGCTGTTATTCAGAATTTTTGGTTGAGTAATATTTAAGCAGACTATAAATAAACTATCTGGTAACTTAGAGGTTAAATGGTGGATTGTGACTAATAGTGGAATCCAGGATGCACATTTCGTCTTATTTGGGACTCGTCACTGGATGTACTTCCATTCCGTATATTCATATGAGTGGTATCCAAGTACTCATATTTGGCGATCAGTAGTATTTAGCACCATACACTTTTATTCTTGCTTTCTTGATTCACATTTTTGTGATATTGAGCAGGTCACATGTTGTGATCTGAATAATTTTGTTTTTTTAAAAGGAAACTGTTGTGAAGTTCCACCTGGAACTGTTTAAATTGGTAATCACACATTAATTTGCAAATTACGATATTAAATTTAATGCATTACCAGTTCTCTTAAGTAGCTAATCGGAATTCAGGTGGTTTAAGTTTATTCGGCTCTCTTAGCTGAGTCAGACAGGGCACACCACAGAGTAAAACGCTATTGTTTAAATCACTTCGATTTGGCCAGTAAGTACCACTACCAGCTGATGTGAGTTGTATCCAACTACTTATATCAGTCAATAAGTAATATATGTCACTGTTAATTTGTGCCTGAAAACTTCTTGTTAAACTTAGAACATGGATTTCCTAACACTGTTTTGTCCATCAATTTACCACTTATCTGAGATATTTTCCCCCTAGAGATTGAGAACGTCCCAAGAGTACTGTCACGTGATTTAGACTGTGCCCACAACTATATTTTCGGTATGTAGTAAATACTGATTAATGGGAATTGACGACCAAGTTTTTAGTTAGGACCAGTACCTCAAGGTTATCCGTAAGGATGATTATTTGAAGAATTACTATTCCGATGTCGTATTTATCAAACATTTTCTCAGCCTGAAAGTACTGGACTGGTGTTTCGCCCCAGTTTGGGACTCTTCATCAGTACACACCCACCAAGGTTCAAACCCAGGAGCCTTCGGTTACATAGCAAGCTCGTAGACCAATAAAATGGCTTATGAATGCCAACTTGCACCAATTCGCGATGTTGTACACCACACTCGCCAGCCAATTTCATAGGTGAGCAGCTGATCTCTTACCTGACTTGGTGAACTTCGCTGGTTACGACTTCTCACTAAAAATCCAGGTAACTTATTAGGTGGAGCAAGTCGCTGGTGAGCATTAAAATAATTGTCAAGTGTTGGTTTGCAGGGATTTGATTTGTTACAAGTTTGATTACGATTTAACATCCGGGAAAGTCGTGGGTTCGAACTCCAGGATGCGGTTCTACTGAACAGTCCAGTAGTAGGAAGAAACACTTGTCCAGTGCTCAGACACCTCACAGTCGTTTTCTAGCTGATGTCAATCTGTGGTTAAACCTACAACCGATCAAATCTCTGCGAACTGGCACTTGATGTTTGAGGAATGTCGGTGGAGTATTCAAGCTCGGTAAATTTCGTCCGAATTCTAGATCATTCATAATGGCATGAGTTTGAATAGCTTATGCTGTTGGCTCGTTACCAGCTCTGATTCTCACCCATAAAATGAGATGTGGTCCAAATGTGAGTGTTAATCAACTCAGCAATTATACAATGCAACCTATATTTAACCACTTTGAATTTGTTGTCTGCATGTAGCATACCTGAGGTTTACTTAGCATAAGATGATGTAGTACGACTTAATAAAAAAAGCTTTGTATCTTAATCCTTAAGACTAAAGTATACTTTTTAAATTAGACAGGGATTTACAACGAATCTAATATTCTTTTGTTTAAGATCTTTACTCATTCCACAATCACTTGCTTTAAAATTCAAATATTTCTGACAAAGTTTCAGCTGATCGACGTTTGCTGACATTAAAAATGTTGATTATTTTCAAGAGTCAGTTTGTAGGCATTTGATGTGTTTCAAGTGTGTTCATGGATTGAAGTCAGTTAGAGAACCAAAAATCTGATGCTGTCTAGTGATTGGCTATAGGACGAAATTGCCTAGAGTTCCAGTGAGAAGTTGTGAACAATTGGTTCTACTGATGACATTTCCTGGTGGTTGCGGTGAAATCGCGAATTGACAGAAGTTGGAATTTATCGGTCATTGTGTAACAACAGAAGACAAGGGCAACAGATCATTTATTAAGGAAATCAAAGCATATTTATATATTTTCATTTACATCATTATAGATTATTGTAAGCAAACAAACACAGTCTTCTGATTGGTTGTTTCTCACTGAAAGTTATTCTTTCATCTCTTTGTGACTGTTTCTTGAATGTCACATCATCTATATGTTAACTGTATCCGCCTACGCAAAGTCTGCTGTGGTCGGTTTTTGAATCAGTCTTGTTCATATTTTCTCACGACCAATATTGAGAACGTAAACATTGACGTAAATTGCTGTCTACCAATTTGGCTAGTAGACAGCTCTCACCTACAATTGGATTCTTGCCCAAGTGGCTGAATAGTTAAGAAGCTTGGTCTTTTAACCCCAAGGTCATGGGTTCAATCAGTGATGGGGTCGTCGTTGCGTATTGCTGAAGAGTCCAAAACTAGGACAAAACAGCTGTCTAGTACTTCCTGGCTTTCAGTGGTTCTCTGTCTCTCAGATAGCGTCATTACCGTTTAGATAGTAACCATTGCTTTGTAGTGAATCCAGTTGTATAATCAAAGGAACTAACAAACATTTCGTCCATTGAAAAGTATAGAAACTCATGGACTATCTGTATATAGAGCGCCTTCTGCACTTGCTATTTCTTCAGTATTATTTACAAAGGTATCTTGGCATGCACCCTGAAATACGCTTCTTTATATCTATAAACCTTGGACAATGTGCTAGTGTATGATTCCATATTAGTTTCCCTAGCGGATGTATCACTCAATGGGACAGTGTCATCTGCTGGATGAGGTGTCGAACACATTTTAGTATTCATAATCATATTAGTTGTAACTGCATAACTTTGAAAACTGATTTTCATAGTTCTCATTCTTTCTTCCTTCTCATTTGTTGTTGTAAGGGTAGTAGGATTTTCACAATTTCTGAGATAGATGTCGAATCATGTGTATTGTTGTTATCCTCAGTTGATTTGATAAATAAAGTTGTAGTTATCAGTATTTAGGAGTGATTCAACACCTGTCTTGGGGCATTTGAAGAATCCTACTACTCATACAACAAATGTGAAAGGCGGATTAGAACTACGTGGATCAAATTTCGAAATTGTTTAGTTACAGTTGATATGATTTTCAAGAATAAATTCTGTTCGATACACCATCCAGTCGACTTGTCATTTTAAGTATTCTGAAAATTTCGGCGATTTCTTTGGCTGATTACCCTTGTTATTCTGTTTTGAATTACTTTTCTTACTACTTATGGAGATATAAGTATTCACTTGAAGGTAAACATTTATGTCTACCTTGTTAATTTATTCTTCTCTTTAAACACTGGTGTGGTTTCTACTAGTCATAGCCTACATAGACCACTATTGTTATTTATCATTGTCAAGTATTGGTTTTGTAGGGATTTTGTTTGATTGGCTGGAGGATTTCATCATGAGCTGACATCAGTTAAAGAACAACTGGAAAACCTGGGAGTACTGGACAGCTGTTTCGTCCTAGTTTGGGACTTTTCAACAGTATAGCTCGATGGTCTACGAGTTAGCACAGCTTGTAATCAGAAGGTTTTGGGTTCGAACCCCGGTGGGTGCGTACTGTTGAAGAATCCTAAACTAGGATGAAACAGCTGTCCAGTACTTATCATTGTATGTGATGATCATTTTCAAGCAATTATTGTTTAATTATTATATAACAAGGCGATTAAAAAGTGATGCTCATCACCTATCTTGTGTGGCTCTCATATTTTCAGATTGTCAACTATCACTGTGTAAATACATCTCAGATAGTTTCACCAGCAATTAACAATCCTACTCGTCTCCTTCTAATGTCTGAAATTCACTGGAATGTTTACTCCTTCCAACGTTTGACTGTTGGCTGCCTGCTTAAATCACTAGGTTGCCCAAATTTCTATCCAATGCAATGCCTGAATTCTTCTTTGTTTCTTTTTGTTTTAATTATCCGATTTCATCTTTGGCATCGTTATTTAAACTTGAAAAGTTTTTAAATTCACTTTCAATGTAATGACGTTTCTTTTCTCTCGAAAGAAATGTAAGGAAAATCTTTTCGGAGATTGAATCTTACCTCAAACAGAACCACACAGAGTCACATGGTATCCTGTAAAGAATTATTTTACTGGAGAATCCTGTAGCAATAGTGAATGTTTTGCGATTTGGAATACACTGAGGAATATGTACTGTGTTACTATATTGTGTAGAATGTCTTATTATTATTAGTATATGCACTCAGAGGTTAATTGGAGGATGGTGACTTGCAGTAGAATCCAGGATGTGCATTTCGTCCTATTTGGGACTCGTCACATGGATGTACCTGCATTCCCCAGTGAGTCAGTGATGATGTTCCCACCGAGGCTTGAACCCAGTGGCCACAGTTTCAAACAACAAAGCGTTATCCACTAGGCCACTTGGGCCACGAGAGCCACCTCATGTGCAACGGGTCATATGAATTATTTAATTGAATTTTAGATTTTCCTGTTGATCGATTGGTCTGAAGTGCTCGGTCTCAGGTTTACATGTCGGCTTCTTGAGCAGATTCTTCGACGATGTCTGGTCCAAGTGGTCCAGTTGATAACGCTTTGGCGTTTGAAACTATGAGCACTGGGTTCGAGACTCGGTGGGAACATCATCACTGACTCACTGGGGAATGCAGGTACATCCAGATGACGGGTCCCAAATAGGGCGGAATGCGCATCCTGGATTCCACTGCAAGTCACCATCCGCCAGTTAACCTCTAATTACATGCGCAGACATCGTCGAAGCATCTGAAAAAGAAGCCGACATGTCAACCTGAGACCGAGCACTTCAGACCAATCAATCGACGGGGAAATTTAAAATTCAATTATATGCATTTGGTTTGTCAGTGAAGTTATTCGTTTTTATTGAAAAATAGAAAATTATGCAGTTGTTGAATGTAATTAATGCTACATATTACTTGTTTCCATGTTTCTATCTAGAATACAGTTAAACATCCTCTGATTGTAACACGTGAAATGGTTGAAAAATCCTTATCGGTTATTGTTCCAGCGGTTAAAAATACTGCTGAATTTGTAACTATTCCAGATATAACTTGGGCTGATGTTGGTGGTTTAGAGTCAACTAGACAACAGTTGTATAATCGTTTTATGGTAAGAAGATTAATTCCATTTTATTTATTGTTAATTACAATTTAATCGAATCTATTTGTGGATTACCGCATTGTGTTTGTCTCATCTGAAAGGGAAAATATTTGATGAACTGATTGAGTTGATTCAGAAAAACTGTTCTTCAGACAATGAATACAGTTAACTGTAACAGATTTTTCATGAGCAGTCACATATTATTTGACTGTTGATGATTATACCTAGCTGCTGAATCTGAAGTAGGTGGAGTGGGACACGAACCCGAAACCCCCTGGCTGTAAGTTGACTGTTCAAAGTTAATGAGCTATATCTTCACATGAAAAGAATAAAAGACAAGTCAACGAAGAATAAGGGATTGTGCAAGTGAAGGAAGGTATCACAATTTTTAGATTTTCGTTAGGAACCAACATCAGTTAAACAGATCATTGAAAACCAGGGAGCACTGAACTGCTGCTTCGTCCTATTCTGTACCCCTACTGGTCATGACCTTCCACTTCAGCTTCAGAAAATCCATCCAGTAGCCAGCCATCAATGATCTGAAAATTCAATTCCAGCCCACATGGTTAAACGGTCAACAAGCTTTGTCTCGTGACTTGCAGGTACACCGGGTATGCACTGCCGAAAAGCCTCAAAGTGGGACGAAACAGCTATCCAGTGCTTTTTGGTTTCCAATGTCCTCTCTAATTGATGTTTGTCAGTGACGAAAAATCCTACAATATGAAGAATATATCACTGGTGTTTGTCAGGTCGCTGAATCTTTTTGAGACAAAGAAAACGTAAAAGGCCATATACAACTTGAATGTGTTTTTAAGCTTAATTCTCTAGGATTTTCAGATATTTATTTTCTTTCACTGTGGACATATTATCCATGTATACTGATTTTAATGAATTTCACCAGTAATCTTTGATAAATAAATTCTATATTTGTTTATTGAATATATATCACACAGTGAAACAGCAGTATTCAGTGGATGCTGTTTCGGACACAGTGACATTTTTTAAGAGATGCATCCTGTGGAGTCCATTAAACAGTGATTGTAAAGTCGAATATATGCATCAGAGTAGTAGACTGGCATTGTTAAGATTAGAAAAACCTAGTGAAATTTAGATTATTTGACCCTAATAAGAAAAGAAATCTGGGAAAATAGCTCAACTATTGTACTATACGCAACCATATGCTACAATGGGACAAATTGATATTTTTAAAATCTAATGTAGCAAGATGGAGGGACAGACTCATAACTGAAGCTATATTTATAGAATAAACTTGGAAAGGTATGTTACGTTAGGAACGATTCAACACCTGGCTGGCTGGCTGGATTCAATATAGAACTTGGCACCGAAGTGCAGCAGTTCGAGTTGCCACGTTCCAAAGAGCACACAGAGGTAGACAAGAAAATGAGTGAAGAGAATCAATAGAGTTTTGACAAGTATAAGAGTGAAACAGAATGAGTAATGGTAGGAAGGAATATGAAAGTTTACAGAGACTGAATACATCTGCGTAAGCCATTGACAACGATTTTGAGCCATGTCACCTAGTGTCTCCAGCCATTGATTCTTAGAGTCCCGAGGGCCCCAACCCGGAAGTGTGTATCTCCCTACCTGACTCAGTTTAACTGTCAGGGATTTCATGGATTGATGCCATGTTTTTGTTTGGCCACCGATTCAACACCCGTTCAAGACAATTGGAAAATCCTACTACTCCTACGATACATGGAGTAGGAAAGAAGAATGAGAGGTGTATGAATCAAGCTTTAAAGTTGTACGATATGATTACGAATTATTAATTGTGTTCAAAAAGTCATTGTTAAGGAACTTAGCCCTAAGTTCCTATTGTAACGAAGACTCTCTGAACCGATAATTACTGTGTACTTGTCTCGACTTCAACTCCGAAACACCAGTGCCTTTTTGAAAGTTATATTGTTTGGCAATTAAAGTAAAGACAATTACAAGTCTATAAACAAATGTTTTAGACAGAATTATAGAGTACTTTTATTCGTATTCTTTCGTCTTCTTTGAACTTGTACACGATCGAACCATTCATGCCTTCGATTTGCCCGTCAATGGCTACCAAGGTCAATGAACCAACGTTCAATATTCATATTCCTTGACATCATTTCAGCAAATAATACTGTTTCACTGTGTGATATATATTCAATAGACAACTTATTACGGAATGGCATGCTACTACAGTGTCCAAGTTTTTCATATATGTATATCAATCTGATGAATAAAGTTAACTTTCTTGAGCCGATATCTGAAGTTCATTGTACATCATTGTATGACTAAATGAGTGTTTGTGTACAGCTATGACTAATGGAGCATATATTCAGTTTATAGGGAGGCGTTGAAAAGCTTTCTTCTCAGACTACCTTTTAATATCCCTTCTTGGGCTGATAATACTTTTCTGAATTTTCTCCTAAATTCTAGTCACAGCCATTCTATTTGAGATGACGAAATAAAAGTACGTGGTGTACCTTAAAACTTTGTTGTTTTTACGTCGAGATACAATAATTCTTCAGATGCACTTTCTCGATAAGGAACAGATAATGTGTTATTCTTACTTTATGGATCTGGTTCTTTCGAATATCATTTTGTCCCACCTTTTTTATTATTTATGCAACGTAGTCACCTAGTGTACATTTGATTATCACAAATGAACTACATCATTATGTTAAATATCCAAATCGTAGAAATCCTGGGCTTATCGCTGGTTATAGAAGATTAAGCCTAATACACAGAACACTATGCACTGTAACCGACGCAGGACAATCGAAAACAGTTGGGCAACACGACAGTTTATTCTACAAGCGATAACGAAACAGATTTACAGTGGTTAATCAGTGCCAAAGTCTGTAAATAAGCATTAATATAATGTACAACAATACGTCTGATCGTATTTTTCCAATCTTCTGCCAATCAGTACACGATTAAACTATGAGAGCCTTCTTGTCTCCCACCAATATGGAGACCAGTTGGAACAAACAAACGATTCAATGTCCACCAACATTGACATCTTACATAAAGACTAGTGACAATACTCGACTAAAGCACACACGCACACCCTGGTTTGTGAAGTACAATTCCAAACTCTATCTATCGGTATTTAAGAGTTTATTTGTTAAACAACTTCGTCATGATATGTAGTCATTGTATTTATTCAGTGACCGGTTGCAGTGTAATCGACTGTGGTATCTATATTCACTAGAAAGCTGTTTCCTGGTTTCTGGTAATAACTGAATTTTAGTCTTCAGAATGACTGTGTTACTGCAGATAAATGAGTGTATGAGAGTCTTGTCTATATATATATATATATATGACATAATTAAACAAGTATTCTCACTAATGCATCGTGACATTGTTTTCACTTGTGGCTATTTCAACCATTGTTCTTGTTGTTTTCCGTATCGCTTCAACCATTGATATGATTTTTTATCAACTAGTGTCGTGTAGGAACTCTCATGCTTACATTGACCTTTACAAACAGGCAGTATTATTATGTCCCCAAACGCTGGTTGTGCCTCACAGTTTATTTTTGTGAGACACTTGCACCAAGCACAGCTAAGCTACACTATCCCGGTACTGAGAAACCGACACGTTGAAATATCGTTTACTTTTAATTCAATTTTGATTTTCCCGTTGATTGATTGGACCGCAATGTTTGGCCTCTGTTGGCATTTCGGTTCCCTGTGCGGATGCGAAACCAAAATTAAATTAAAGATAAATAAAAACTGACACCCGTTTGCACAATGGGTGGCTCACGTGGCGCAAGTGGTCTAGTGGATAACGCTTTGGCGTTTAAATTAATGGGTACTGGGTTTGAGTCTCAGTAGGAACACCATCAGTCGCTGGAAAATACAGGTACAACCAGATGACGAGTCCCACATAGGGGGTTGCGGCGATGCGCATCCTGGATTCTACTGCTAGTCACCATCCACAGAATTACTTTGAAATATCACTTATTTCCCTTTTTGATCGTTGTGCTTAATTCTGTGAAATTTCACGCAGTTCTATTTTTCTCTTCATATGTACAGCTTCTTATCGATGATTGGGAACGTGCTCAGACGTTGCATCGACGGTCAGGAGGTGTGTTGCTAGAAGGTCCACCTGGTTGTGGAAAAACACTTGTAGCCAAAGCTTTATCCAATCAAGCTGGTCTTAATTTCTTATCAGTTAAAGGACCAGAAGTACTAAATAAATTTCAAGGTGAAAGTGAACGTCGTATTCGTGAAATATTTGAACGTGCACGTGCTTGTCAACCGTGTCTTATATTTTTCGATGAAATTGATGCAATTTGTCCAAGACGAGATAGTGATGAATCAACAGGTAATCGATTGTATACATTTAAGAAAAAAAGAAATTCTTCTAATACATCTTTACTACACATATTTATCACTCTTCATAACTGTAGTCACTTCACAGTCAAGAAGACGAAACTGTTTCACTTTGCAAAAATGTGAAATATCTTTTCCTATGGCACCTAAAACTTTGCCGTATACCTCTAAATATTATTTTCGGAGAAAACGTAGAAATTCTTTGATGATATTTCTCTCAACATGATCTTTTCGGAAGAATAGTCGGTAGACCGGAAATGTTTGCAGTGAATAAGATTCTTTATTGATAGTTTACCTCCTTGCCAGCAGGTAGTATTCGCACACTAACTACAAATGCTTTGATTTCAGTAATACAGAAATAGAGGACTACTGTTTTCTGTTTCAGAGTCTCTTCATGAGTCTCTTTCCTTGGAGGTATGGAAGTTTAAGAGTTATTTGTCAACAGTTCTTTCCTGTAATTTTGTTTTGGTAGTAGTAAACCTGTGAATGAATTGTCCTCTTTTTGTATCACTTACTTTCAGGAAGTCGAGTTAGTTTAGTGAATCAACTATTAGTCGAATTAGACGGTATTGATAAGCATAGATCAGGTCGAGTATTTGTTGTTGGCGCTACAAATCGTAAGGATATGATTGATCCGGCTATACTTCGTCCTGGTCGTCTTGGTTTACATCTGATGATTAGTCCACCATCGAATTTTAAAGAACGTCTTTCAGTTCTGTCAGCTTGTACACGATCTGCAACAACTCCTCGGATTGAGAATGGTATGTTAACGCTTGAATTGATTGCGAATGATTCACGGACTGAAAAAATGAGGTAATTCTTTCCTGTTATGATTCGTTGAATTTCTTTTTTTTCAACTTTTATATTCATTTTTTGAACTTTACTTAGTGTTATTTCTCGAACGTAATTGAGTACTCCTAATTTCTTATTGGTAAAGTAGCAGTACAACTTTAAAGTTCAATACGTGTATGTCTGCACTTGGCGGATGATTTATGTTTAATGTCACACCAACTCGAAGAATTGCCAGAAAAAAGTGGCAGGTTGGCAGAAAAAGCAGCGAAGACAAGACTTCAAGTAAACATAGAGAAGATGGAAGTGATGAAGATATACAACCAACAACAAGCAGCAATCACTAACATCGGAATAAGTTTAAAAGTGGTCAATTGCTTCTCGTATCTAGGCAGAATCATTTCAACCATAGGCTGAACAGATAAAGATGTCAAAACCAGAATTGGAAAGGCAAGGCGAACCTTCATCACCCCGAAATCAGTTTGGAAATTTTCTGCACTATACTCATCATAAAGAACAAAATTCGGATTTTCAACAACAATATTCAGTCAGTCAGTCAATCCTTCAATGTGTGTCACAAACTTGATGACTAACACATCACAAGGAGCATTTTCAACAAGCTTCAGACTTTATCAGCAGCTATCTTCTCTCCATACTAAAATTCAGATGGCCAGAAAGAATTAGAAACAATCAACTCTGGAAATGAGCCAATCAAGAAGCTATTGCTCAACAAAAATGCCGGAGAAAGTTGAGATGGATCGGATACACTCTGAGGAGACCATTGAGTGACATCGCGGGCCAGGCCGTCTAGTGGGTCGCGAATAAGAAACGATGAGTTACTTGTGGCTCCGAGGGTGACATGGAGGAAATCGTGTGCGGGCAATCGTGGGGCCAGCTGCAGCGGACTGTAGAGAATAGGAAAAAATGGAGATGTGCAGTTGAAGCCCTATGTTTCAGAATCTAAGGGAATTATAATAATGTATTATTGTTTCCTTTAGTTCCTAGAGGAACATAGGGTTTTAACCGCGCGTGTCTATTGCGTTCGGTTCTTTGACTACGTTTTCACCTGGCTCCACGTCTCCCCACATGCTTTCATCTCCTCTTCACATAACCTCCTACATGTCACCCTCGCACTGACGACCAACTCGCCACTTTCCGTTCGGGTTCTACTCGAGCGATAGCCTGTCGTGTTATATCACTTGATGGTTGGTTTTCTCAAAGTATGGCCAATCCATATACATATATATTTCTCTTAGAGTTTCTCAAAACGTATTCTAGTACCTTTCTGATTCACTTTTACTCCCACTGGTTTGAATATATTAGTGAATTGAAAATTACTACGAAATGGTTTGGAGCGATAGACAGATGTCTCTCGATCTAGTTAGGTTTGATGCTTTTTGTCACGTTTCAGCAAGACTCGCCGCCAACAATCTCTCACTCACTGTTATCCAGTCAGAGATTTGAAGCAACAATTAATTACATATCTTTCTCATGATAAAGTCATATTACACAAGTAAACCGGCTTTCTGTAGCTATTAACCAAAATTAATTCTTCTACTTCTATATCTGTTGAGTGTAGAACGAACGGACAAACGAACGAAGGTTGATGCCCCAGTTAAATATGATGAATTGATCACAGACTTCACAATAAACTCTGTCTTATTACTGATTAAACAAGCATTTTATAGGATAAAACTTGACTGTCAATACTATTTGAAATGTTAATTATACCAATTGGCCAGTTATTGATAGCATAATGAAATTTTCGTTAAGTTGGTTTTTTTCGATGTTATACGAAGCGCTTCATCTTTCCCGTTGTTTGTTCATTTGTGATGCGCTTATCTGTAAAGTGATCAGTGTTTTGTATCGCTGACTGCATTGTCCCAGTTAATTTACAATATAGTCATTACTCGGCATGAATTCTTGTTTCCAACTATCCGTAAGACTTATATTCATTGTGTTAGAAACGTTATTTGGTCAACTAATACAGCTTAGATTGGATCTTACTTGTCTCCATATAGCTCAAGTTTGATCACAAGCTAACACCAGTTAGAGAAACATCGGAAAAGTAGCTAGTACTGGACAGATGTTTCGTCCCGGTTTGAGACTCTTCATCACTACGCACTCATCAGGGTTCGAACTGAGGACCTCCCGGTTGCAAGGCAGCTTGCACATGATTCATCCAATGGGATCCGATCCAATAGCCCATGAGTACCAACTTCTACCGATTCGTGAGTTTCCTCCACTGACTTGAGCCAAGTGTTATTTATGTATGCAACTAATGTGACTGGTTCAGTCTTGCCATTGTCTATATATAGCGAAGAAAACCACCTGATTTAGTTAATGTTATTTACATAATACTGAAATTAAATCTTCATTTTATCTGTATATTGAATTGTAGTGGTGCTGATTTGGAGAATTTATTGGAATTGGCTAAACAGAAAGCTCAAATCGCCCGACAAGATTTTGTTTCACAGGCTAATCTACTGGATGCTTTGTCTGAATTACACAATTGAACTGATCATTTTGTACAATTACTTTTCAAATCTTTGTTATAAGTAGAGTTACATATATGTATATGCACAATGATATACAACTTTTGACCTTATTTCTTAACTCAGTCTCTATGCCCAAAGTGTATTTTAGATGTATAAAGCATTTGTAATTTAATCCTATCAAATGATTGTTACGTCTTCTGTGAACGAAATAAAATTATTGTAAAAACAACCAGTTTTGAGTCATTTTTGTCTTTTTGAATATAATCGCATATTTTATTATGATTATTCTCTTGGGTTCCGAATGGGACATAGGTCTTCAATAAATAGCACATCTCAATTTTTTCCCATCCTCTGCAGTTCACTTCAGCTTGTCCCTACGATTGCCAATGCGCTAGCATCGCCTCCATGTCATCCTCATGCCCTCGATAAACTCGTTGTTTCCCGATCGGATTCGACTTGAAGGGCTAGCGCGTGCTGTCATCCAACTGTCTCTCCAGTGTGTGTATCTAATCCCACTCCATTTCCTTCAGCATATTTGTTGATCAGTAAGGTTCTTGATTGCGTCGGTGGCATAGCAGTTAGGACGCTCGCTGACCATGCACATGGTCCGGGTTCGATTCCCGGCCGGCTCACTCCTTTACCATGCTAAGCCAGAACTAAAGCTGGTGAAGAGGAAAGGTTGGGCATGAGGCTAGCAACCGCATTCTGTAAAAATAAACACTGCTACAGAAACTTCAAGCCTCTAGCTTGAAGCCCTATGTTCCACTGGGGAACGTGAAGGAAAAAAGATCATATTGATGCATTTTATGACTAACAGATACTTTTCAACTGTAGTCTATCGATATTACCAATTCAAGATGACTGAACACAATAATGTTGTCATGAACAAAAAACTGAAGACAAGATTTTGTTAAACATTCCATTGAGTGTAAACAAAGCGATCACGTCAGTAGAATAACCTAATTACTTAAAATAGTAAAAACTGAAAGTTGCTGTCTTTGTTAATTGTAGAGAATTTGTTCGTGACGTTCCAAAGCTCATGACCTAGATGCTTTCACACTTGCTATGCTTTAGTGACTTATGCTTAGGTGACTTTTAAATTACTTGAAATGTAGGAGCTTTTCTTTTAAAATGGAATCGCTTTGCAACAGTTTTAAACTATTCCGTAAATGTATCAGTCATTCTACTAAATCATAGCACTTGATGCAGTTGTAGTTATTTGAAATATGCTGACAGTAAATTTTATTTTACGCTTCTATCACTTTGTTGAAAGTTGATGCAAAAATAGATTTGAATTATCTCGTGTATTCAGATATCGTGTTACAGCAAGTAGTGCCTTTACATAGCAGTCAGACTTAATTGTGCTGATCTCCGAGTTCAGCTTAATTGATCAGATATTCGTAAGTGTAGAAGAAATTTCCCCCTATAAATGGTGCACGTTTCAAATATGGCATATGATTAATTTTTCCAATCTTAGAAAATACTCTTTTCTAGTGACGCAAACCTTGGGACTGAAAAGGATACAGTTTGGGAGCTTTAACCATTACATCAACTGTTAGGTGAAGATTTTCTGTTGTCAAAAGAGGACGAGGAGCTCACCCTTATGTCCTGCAGTAATATTGAGATCTTATCGTAGCACTCAGTGTATCGCCCTTGATTATAGGTAAACCACTTGTTCTAGTTCTCAGTTAATATCATCTTACACATCTAGTGAATCTGAAAACAGTCCACTGTTAGTACTTCCAAGCAATCTGCTACACGGAACTATTGAGTAGGCCAATGATCCAAGTTAACATTAAATCTCCATCAATATGTGCTAGTCAACATGAGATAGACAATTGGAGAAATTACTGAGTTAAATCACAGTGTGAAGTAAATTGAACGAGAACTGTAATGTATTTACACAACGTATTGAGCTAGAATTTAGGCAGCTTTAAAGTAATGGAGAATAATTAGTGAAGATTGGAACAGGTGTCAGCCGGCTTTGATAGTGAGGGTTCCAATGAACTTGATGAAAATCTGTTCTGTGAGGATGATAGATCAAAACCTAAACAGGATGTGTATCAACAGCTTACAACAAATTTCATCCAAACATTAGACAACCATAAACAAACTCAACAAAATTAGGCCAGATCACAAAACAAGACTAATGGCTAATTAAATCGAATGGACCAGTACTATCCCGATTCTACGGCAGGCCCAAAATACACAAACAGAATATTCCGCTTGTTACGACAAAATGTACATTGTGCCTGGCCTACACTGAAATATCTAATCGGACTGTAATGAACGAATAGGACAGGTTTAACCCGTTTTATGGTGGGGACGTCAATGAACTTGGATGTGTGATGAAAAGCTGTCCGACATAAGGATAAAAACAACTTTATGACCCATCCTCTTGACCGGTTTCACGACAGACTATCTTGATCATCTATTTCCGATGGCATTTAAGTTAGCATTTTTCCAGTCTTGTAGACTATAATTCGACAGTGGAATAATATAAGTTCATAAAACACACGGTGCACGGTAGTATTTGTTGTGCTCAAGATGTAATCAATAGAAAATAATACCTTAACACTGTATGGTTCATTGGTAATATTATCGAATTACTGTGGTCTACTACGCAATACCAAACTGTGTATACATTGGTGTAATGTTCATCAAAACTAACTTTCATCAGAGATAAGTGAGATTCCTAACTGCCTGTCATACCTTTCAGGTTTAGTTTCATCATGCAATAATTTCGTTTGATAAAAACTACATATTAATGGAGTACTATATACTCATCACGCTTCGCCTTCATGTGATCATGAATAAAATGTAATGGGATCATCATACTGCGTTTTATCAACAACAACAAAAACTGTTCCACAATTCAATTACACTTCTAAAGAGTCCTCAATTTCTCTTCTTATATCATCGTAGCGATTTAGCCATGTCATAATGATGGTGGATTGATGTGGTGAAGCATAACTGTGCTCATTAAGTTAAGCCAAGTTGTTCATATTGCCAAAGGGTGTGAGAACAATTAGATTACACAAAGACAGAAGTAAAAAACACAAAACAGTGAAATAATAATGTACACGACGCTTCACAGATTACTTCATTTCAAGTCGAACACAAGATTTTATGAAAAACGCAATATAAAATGCGTTATGCGACAATCACCGTCACAAAAGCAGAAGACCAAATTTCAGGCGGATATTGGAGGAAATCTGTGGTAGGTTGGCCACAGTACTACACAACGAGGTGAAGCGTACAATGTTGATGTTGACAATGATTTTCCCGGCACTTCCGACTCTATCACTTGAACACCAAAGATATTACAAATGTGACGTGACAGTCACCTTGAACCAAGATTTTCTCTTGCAATTAGGTGATAGAAATCGCGGATACGTGACTCGAATTACACGAGTAATAATAATAAATATGTCATGCTGGAGAATTTGAAACGTTTATTTATTATACACGTGAAGTGTTGCACTTCTCAACTATGTATGTCTGTGTGTTTTGTCAGATTTCTCATTTGCATGTCTAACATCACAACATGTTGTGGCATTCATCGTTGCCTTTCGAGAAGTGAATTAGGTTAAATACTGCCTCCCATTTAACACTGTACATCTCCAGCTTTGTGATCTAACACTGACTGACAAACAATGTCATCGTTGAATTGATATAAGCAAGTATAGACCAAGTGACTACTCTACTGATTTGAAATGCAATCCACATCCACATTTTAGGCAATCACGTAAACACCACATCACACCAAATAACCCAGAAGTCTGATAATCTTCCGTTTGCAGGCAATTGTGAAGTGTTCGAATAGACACATGGAAACCATTTAGAATCAAAGCATGTGTAACTTTAGTGTAGAATATCTTTCGCTTACTGGTAGTCACCCTTCCCATCAGCATATTGTCGCCTTCATTGGATGCCAGAAGTGATACTGTTACGTCATTTCCTTGCAATCATCCACATGTTTCCGGCGATATTGACGTTGACCTCGTCACTTCAGAAGCCAATATTCCCTTTCACTCGGTGATCACTGGTGTTTGGTGATTGGAGAAAGTGACTGTTATGGTCGTCAATAGTCCGACATCTGACATTTTGTCGAGGCGTATTCCACACATTTGCACTGTGTCTGCAATAATAGATACGTAACCACCTCATAATATTACTAGAATATCAGTTCCTTTTGAAATTCATTCAGAACCATCAAACATAATTCGCCACCAGCCCACTCGACTCTTCAAATTGATGTTAGTGTAACTGGATTTTTCAGGATTGATTGCAGATTTTGGATGATAAGTGAATCAGTCAGATCGGGATTCTATGTAACGTGCTACGCAGCTAAACTAATTGTCATGATCGAAAGCAGTTTTGTGTTTTCTTGTAAATATCAATGCATTTGAACGACAGTGTGGAATCTCAATTTGTTTACCGATTTATATATCTATAAACATGCATGTCAAATTTTGATATTATCAATATACTAAATACAGTTTCGTCACGCATCCACCTCATTGAAGCATTCTTCCTAAAATTTCGAAATTCCTTTCCATCTTCAATATTTATTCTGCGTTCCCTTGAAACTCCCAAAATTCTATCTTTATTTATTGAGAACGGTTTGTTATCCGTTGATCCACCCGACCATAAATTTGGCTGAAACTGTACAAATATGGTGTGATTTTCCTCAAAACAGATGTCCGTTACCAAGTCTCGGGTCTCCTCTCGTTATATTTATTGTCACTACCGCCAGACTATAATGATTCGATAGCCTGTTGCTTTCAAAGAACGAGACGTCAGGAGATTTCTAAGGGACTTCAGCTCTGTCTCTGAGTTGGTGGGTGTCAACGATATGATGACGAAGGCGGGTGTGCTGATGTCACTGATGAGAGGTGTACGACAGTATGAGTGTATGCGGCGAGGCGATAAAGAGACCTGGAACGTATGAGTTGGACGACTGGTGACAGAATTCGACAGCCCACAAAACAGGAAGCAGTTCTGTCTCGCTAAGCTGCGGCCTGATGGAGACCCACTACACTTGGCACCGAAGCTGACGGATCTACTATGTCATCCATTAGCCAAATTGTATGAAGAGTCAGAGCCGCAGTTATTGACTAACAAGCTCATCAAAAGTATCCCAGAACACATCGCTCAGTAATTACAACTGACTATAGCGGCAGAATCTATGGTCAACGGTGAGCTAGCGAAGATGACAAGACAGATACTGAGCACAATAGTTGTCGCATCAGACGCAACCGGAATGGAACCAG